TCTCCAGCCAGATATAAAAGCTGCTTTCAGACAATGAAGATTTGACGTATGAAATTACGAAAGTGATAAGACTTTTCAGTTTAAGGACGTCACTATCTTTGATATTACTTGGGTCATTGTCGCTATGGTTAATGGCAAGAGAATGCGTTTTTTTTTATTCCCGTTACACGTTCATACAGACAGTATTTGAGATGCTACTGCAAGTTGCTGTTTGAATGGGACATTTCGAGACTCACACCTGTAAGTAAATGCGGTTGTCAATCCCAAAAACTGACAGTGTGAATGTAGCCTTTTTCAGGTCTTTCTATTACAAGAAAGCAAGATAAACCGGTCTTCTCTTTTCCACATCCTATGAACTTATAAAATCTTTGAGTGGATGCACATACTATGGTTGTGCAAAAATGCCATTTTATTTAATGTGTCTGTTTTATAGGTTGTGAAAACCATCGGATTAAGGGAGGTGTGGTTTTTTGGACTCCAATACCAGGACACCAAAGGTTTTTCCACCTGGCTTAAACTCAACAAGAAGGTATGTGTTTATGAATATAGCTGCTTTTTAGTGTCCCATTAGCACGAGGGTTCATTTTATAGATCTATATATTTTTTGTCATGTATTTTTTTTCTCATGAAAATGTCACAATTTCATTTGATTATACGTTTAGTAAACAAAAAATAACATTTAGGTTGATCATAATGTGCATACATTTTGAAACTGTCAGTGTAACAGGCCAAACTTTCTCAAATGTTTTAACCATCTTCAACATTTATCAACATGTGTATTTGCTGTGTTGTGAATTCTTCATCCTTTGGAAATCTTTAATGTTTTAGATACGGCTTACGTGTAGACCATTGTTATTCACAAATGCATACTTGAATTAAAATTTAATTACATTTTAATAAAAAAAAAAGTTTAATTCTCATCTTAATTATCATTGAAAAAAAGTCAACTAACACTTTCATCAGTAATGTTGCTGTCAGTTTTTGCTGATTACTTTTGAGTGAAACCTGCAGTTGTCAGCCTTTCATAATTTCAATTTTCTTAGTAATGCATATCTCAATCATTTTTGTGTGCATCAAAGAAAGTGTCGTTATTCCACCTGCCTGTTCAATGTCATTTTTTAATTAAATGACTGTTAAACCAAAAGTTATTCTTGTTTATTCCTTGTTGTCTAGGTTACAGCTCAAGACGTCCGCAAGGAGAGTCCTTTGCTGTTTAAATTTAGAGGAAAGTTTTACCCTGAAGACGTTTCTGAGGAGCTGATTCAAGAGGCGACTCAAAGACTCTTCTTCCTTCAGGTGTGTGTGTGTGTGTGTGTGTGTGTGTGTGTGTGTGTGTGTGTGTGTGTGTGTGTGTGTGTGTGTGTGTGTGTGTTTGTGTGTGCACATGCGTGTCTCTATACATGTCTGTACTGTGTAGGGAAGGTTAAACATGACACAGAATGCATGTCAATTAGAGTGTATGGAAATGAATGCTGGGTCTTGTAAAGTGATAATGTGATATTGCTCAATCTGGTTGTCAGTGAAGGAATTGTACCGGCAGATATACTTGCAGTGTATAGGCCAACATTAAAGCATTCATTCCTGTTGTTGGTTTGTTTAAGGTGAAAGAGGGGATCCTGAACGATGATATCTACTGCCCCCCGGAGACTGCAGTGTTGCTGGCGTCTTATGCAGTGCAGGCCAAATACGCTGACTACAACAAAGATCTTCACGCTCCTGGATACCTGTCCAGTGAGAAACTGCTCCCACAGAGGTGTGTCTACACAGATATTTTAGTACCTGTGGCGACTGGTGCTTGACCTGAGTGGCGAAGCACAGATGATTGACAGAAGGCTTATTCTGATCTGTTTTCTTATGAGGTGTATGAGTGTTTCTCCAAAGCATCACTAAGCATGAAATTATTTAATAAAAGGAATCAGTAAAGCTTAAAACTGTATTATATTGACAGTATGATGAACTGTACAATATTTACAAATGGCAATAGATGTCATTGTTTAATAACTGTTCATCAATTATGAAATGTTCCCGTTATAAAGCAGCTCTGGAGAAAACAGTGATGTCTTCATCCAACTCAGTTCAGTTCTCATTCAATAGTGCCAGCCAGTGCAGTCAAGTAAAATTAAAATATCAAGAATATTACAATGAAAGACTTTAATCCACCAATATATTGAAATGCACCAAGAGTGATGTATAATAACTTATTTGTGCTGGGGCTGCAATAACTACAATCTGTAATGAATAGAGCTGACAATTATTTTTTTTAATTAATTGTTATTAGTTGTTTCATTGTGCACGGATAACTTTTGTCAGGGACGTCATTTACAGTGATAAATGGCCAAAGTCTTGTGTAGCCTTAAAGCAATAGAAATGTTCAGAGTAGTGTCATATTTAATTTTTGACAGGAATGAAAACAATGCTGTGAAGGATAGAGTACAGTGCGTTCGATGTATTGTACTGTTGTTTAACAACAATCCGATTGTTCAGCTGTTGCGGAAAAAAAACTTTCAGCTGACAAACTCCGTAAAACAGTTTTAAAAGTTGTGAGTTGTGAAAATCTAGGACCTTTATACAGTGTGTGCCATTGTAAAGACTGTACGTCTGTCCCTCACAGCTTTGTTTTCATCTGTTAAATTCAATATGGCGTATAACCTGATAAGGTATATCACTCAGTACTTAATGTTTTGGTTAGAAGGTATCAGCCAAAGAACATGTCAAGAACATGTTTGAGATTCTAAATTTGAGCATGTGTGTGTAATCTTTTCTCTACAGAGTTCTGGAACAGCACAAGCTGAATAAGGAGCAATGGGAGGAAAGAATTCAGGTCTGGCACGAGGAGCACAAGGGCATGTTGAGGTACAGCCAATGGAATGCGCTCTTGCTTTTTTTTCTGTTTTATCGCTGACTGCAGTGACCCTGTCAATCACACACACCAGACAGAGTGATAATGTGTGTGTTTCAGAGAGGACTCGATGATGGAGTATCTGAAGATAGCTCAGGATCTGGAGATGTACGGTGTGAATTACTTCAGTATTAAGAATAAGAAAGGATCAGAGCTGTGGCTGGGTGTGGACGCCCTGGGACTCAACATCTACGAGCAGACTGACAAGTACTGATACATTTGATATTCATAAACAAATGAACGGCTTTGAAACGTGTCAAAAATAGATTTGGTAAAAAAATGCACTGCAATATAAAAGTTGTGTAAGAATTTGTTTTTAAAAAAAGAAATTAATACTTTTATTCAGCAAAGGTGCATTCGATTTTTAACAAAAGTGACCGTAATGACATTATATTGTAAAAAATTATATTAAAATAAATGCTGCAGAAAATATGTGTGTAAAAGTTTGGAGTAGTTTCTCTAAAGAAATTAATACTTTTATTCACTAGAGAATGCATTAAATTGATCAAAAATAAGAGTTATTTTATTTAATTTGTCTATTTTAAGCAGAACAACCATTTTATACATAGATAATAATAAATGTTTCTTGAGCATCAAATAAGCTTATAATGATTTCTGAAGGATCATGTGACACTGAAAACTGAAGTAATGATGCTGAAAATTCATCTTTGATTACAGGAATAAGTTATGTTTTAAAATATATTCAAATAGAACATAGTTATTTTAAATTGTAAAAATATTTCACAATAATATATTTTTAATCATGCAGACTTTCAAAAATCGTTAACACTTTACAATAAGGTTTCATTAGTTAGCATTAGTTAACTACTTTAGCTAACATGAACTAAGAATGAACAATATCTCCACAGCATTTATTAATCTTAGTTACTGTTAATTTTTACATTTATTAATACATTATTAAATAAAAAGTTGTATTCAACATGAATGCGCTATGAACTAACATAAACAATGAATGGCTTCATTTTTATTAACTAACATTAACAAAGATGAATAAATAGTATACTGTAATAAATGTATTGCTCATTGTTAGTTCATGTTAGTTAATACATTAACTAATGTTAACAAATGAGACCTTATTGTAAAGTTACCAACAAATCTAACAGACCCCAAAACTTTGAACAGTAGTGTCAATGATTTAATTGTAAACATATCATTTAATAATTAATTAATAATTTGTAACATTTTATGTAGCGCTTTTCTGGGTACTCAAAGCGCTTTACATATAAGGGGGAAATCTCCTAAACCACCACCAATAATTTAAAAACAGTATTATATTTAATTTTAATGCTTATTACAAAATCACACAAGTTACAGTTTTAAACTGTATTGTATTAGATATTTTCCAAATTTTATTAACACGGGCATGTTCAGCAAAAAGTACAATCAAAAACAAATAAAATGAGCCGCATAATGTTTACTTTGTCCTCATGAGCTTGACATCCATTGTTTTAGTTTAGCGCTTGCTTTCACTGACCATTTGTTTTAAAAAAGAACAAACAAACAAAAAGTTTCTGGCATCTTGTACCCTATTTATGGAAAGTGATATTTATTACTGTGCCAAAAAACTGACTCACCTCTTCTCTCTTTTCAGGATGACACCTAAAATTGGTTTCCCCTGGAGTGAGATTAGGAACATTTCTTTCAACGATAAGAAATTTGTCATCAAACCCATTGATAAAAAAGCCCCGGTATGTCAAACATGATTTTCCTGCTGTCTGATTTATCACAGTTTCTGTCCATTTTTTTCTGCAAACAGGGTTTAGACAATAGCAACGCTGTTGCTGCAAAGCAGTGAAGTGTTGTAATGTTTCATGAGAGATTTGAGGATGGTGAAATCACAGTATACACCAAAGACTTTCCAAATAAAGCTGCACGTTTCTCTTTGTTACACAATCACGGACGCAAATAAGAGATTAGATGTGGACATGTCTCCTTTTTATTTCATTCTTCAGTATTTCCTGTAGCTCCTGATCCCTTACTCCCTCCCCTGGCTTTCTTTGGCTCTCTTCCTAAACTTGGGGAGCTTTTTATGTATGCAGTATTTTAAGACATAGGAAGTAGGTATATAATGTTTTCTCTTTTTCCCCACAGGACTTTGTGTTCTATGCCCAGCGTTTACGCATCAATAAGAGGATTCTGGCTCTGTGCATGGGGAACCATGAGCTTTATATGAGACGCCGTAAACCTGACACCATCGAGGTCCAGCAGATGAAGGCACAGGCCAAGGAGGAGAAAAACCACAAGAAGATGGAAAGGTGAGAGGAAAAAGGAGAGACGGAATAACACCACACAGAGGCTCTGATTTTGATCTGGATTGTGATCATTTCAGTGGTGATTTGGATTCTTTCCAGTGACTCAAATATTTTGATTCTGCTCAACGAAAGAGTTTCAGATGTGTCCACTGATTCATTCAGTGACTCTTTCTGTATGTTACATTATTACACCAATAGGTGGCAACCAGTTAATGTGCTTTTTCCTATTATAAGTAACTGGATCATTGATTCATCTGATTGATTCACAAACTCTGTGTCATTCCAGACTGAATTAAGTCATATTGTTTTTATTAAAATGTTTACACATTTATAAATGTATTTTCTTGTTGAACAATATTGACTTGATTTACTAAATTAACACACATTCCTTGTTCACCAACTTTAGTTTTTTTTTTACTGTTTTTTTTTGTTGTTATAAATGAAAGGGTGTTACATAACATTTGTTTAGAATAGTAATAATAAAAAGTAAATGAAAGTGAATGAATAAATAAACATAAATAAGAAAAAAATACATAAATCCCTGACAGCCTTTTAATAGCATAGTTCACACAAAAATTAAAATGTCATGTTGTTCCAAACCTGTATGAGTTTCTTCTGCTGAATACAAAAGAAGATATTTAGAAGAATGTTGGTAACCAGACAGTTGACGGTAGCCATTGACTTCCATAGTATTTTTTTTCCTACTATGGAAGTCAATGCCTACCGTCACCTCGTTGGTTACCAACATTCTTCTAAATATCTTCCTTTGTGTTCAGCAGTAGAAAGAAACTCATACAGGTTTGGAACGACATGAGGGTGAATCAATTATGACAGAATTTTTATTTTTGGGTGAACTATCGCTTTAACAAAAAGTGTACATTAGTGTCTGACAAGAGCATTAAAGGAAAAAGTATTAAAAAAGTAAACCGATAAATTAAATATTGGGTACACTTACATTTCAGTGAATACACATGCCGTTACATTGTTCATACATTAACATATTAAAGCTATTTCCTTTTAAAGCAAAAATGTTTCAAATAGTGCCTACTTTCGTTGAAAAATTACAACTTTTTATTTAGTTTGTTCACGAAGGTTCAGTTTAGGCCTTGTTCAGACTCAAAACACTGAATCATAATTATTTCACAATCGAAACACCACTAATTATGATTGTATGAAATATTTATCAGGCAGACAAGGAGCTAGCCTACACCTTGAGATAATTTATAGTGTTCATGCTTATATTTGTGTGTGTGCATGTGTTAATTTGATAAATTGATGGTTGTATGTATAGATTACTTCATTGTTCACAATGACAGGAAGGACACATTCCTCTTCTAATGCATCTGTCTGTTTGTGTGTTTCACCCTCTCTCTCTCTCTCTCTCTCTCTCTCTCACACACACACACACACTGTTGCAGGGCCTTGTTGGAAGATGAACGTAAGAAGAGAGAGCAGGCTGAAAAGGAAAAAGAAAAGATTGAAAAAGAAAAAGAAGAGCTGATGGAGAGACTCAAAGTGATAGAGGAACAGACGAGAAAAGCTCAGCATGGTGAGATGGGGTGAAATTTGCTGTTTCTAATCTTTCATTTATTCATTAATGATCAATAAACCCTCGTTATTGTGTGTGTGCAGAGCTGGAGGAGCAGACCCGCAGGGCGCTGGAGTTGGATCAGGAGCGTAAACGCGCTCAGGAGGAGGCCGAGCGCCTGGAACGAGAGCGCCGTCTGGCAGAGGAGGCCAAAACCACTCTGTTGCAGCAATCTGAGAGTCAGATGAAGAACCAGGAGCATCTGGTCAGTTACCGTGTCAACCAAGCTACACACTGCCAGCCACCATGGCAGCGCAATTCTAGTCACCATGACAACCTCACAATATCACCTACACAACCCATGCAGTCGGTTACAGTTGTAACCACGGTAACCAAACTACAATTCTGAAGTTTCCATGAGAACCAAACTTCATCCAACCACAGAGTGCCGGACACCCACAGTTATATCTGTTCCCATGCAACTCTGAGGACCTGTTTACACTAGTCACTAGTGCTTTTTCGTTTTAAAACGCATAACTTTTGCTACGGTTACGCCTGGCGTCCACACTACTCTGGAGTTTTCGACTCTCAAAAACGGAGACATGAAAACGCTTCGTTTTAGTTTAAAAACTCTGTGTAGACAGACCAAAACGGAGACTTTTGAAAATGAAGATGTGGCTGCCCACATTTGCTCACTGATTGGGTCTTCTGGATCATTGCGTATCCTTCCCTGATTCATCAAGCCCCTATCATATGACCATTACGCTACCGGAAGATGACAATAACAGACCTGCCTCAACTACCGTGTAAACAATAACATGGAGACGGAACTACAAGCTTTGCTGACTTTGTTGTCCTTTTTAGCAGCCATTGTGCATTTAATAATACTGCAGCTGCCTACTTGCACAAGAGGCAAGCTATTATTAAAACAATCGACAACTGTTTTCAATCGACAACACTTGTACACGCGCATGCCCAGTGCACATGAATGGTCATGTGACATGAGTTTTCAGTTGTGTAGTGTGGACTGAGACCTTTTCTGAAATGTAGTGGAAACGCCAGTATGGACAGGGATCGTTTTCATTGAAAATGCACTAGTGTAAACGGGGCCTGAGAATTTATATATATGTGTGTGTGTGTGTGTGTACAGGCCACTGAACTGGCAGAGTTGACTTCTAAGATCTCCTTGCTTGAAGATGCCAAAAAGAAGAAAGAGGACGAAGCATCAGAGTGGCAAATGAAGGTAAACATGGTTAACTGTCAGCAGGGGCCTTACAGCGGTGCGCTTACTGTCCATCCATCCAGAAAAAAACAGTCATTGATGTTAGGACAAAAATTAAAGGGGTCATGATTAGCCCTCTGTTTTAAAACGCTCTGTTTGAAGGGGCGTGTCTGCTGTCAGACTTCAGTGTAAACGCCCACTGCTGTGATAGGCTGACATTTTTGCAAATGAAATGAGTATTACATGTGGAACCCTCTCGAATACTTTACTATAAGTTTTTACTATTACAGCTGTTCGAGATTACCGAATCGTGAAAAGTGTTGATTATAGCATTATATTTAGATCTATGCCCATCACATGAAAGGTTGCATCGATGAGCATTGAGCAGATGACAGTCTGTTGATCGCGTGAGTGCAGTGATATCATCATTGCAATGGGATTTCTGCACTCTCACGAATGCTTTTACCATAAATGATGCAAACACGATGTAAATACAGTAGGAGCTTCGTAGTGCAGTGTAACAGCATGATTGATTACATAATGGGAGTTTTGGCAAGTGTCCAGATAAACTCGCGCTGTGTGATTTACAGCTTCAGCGATTGTAACTGCGTTCTTTGATTGCTTTCTGTATATAATTGATCATTTCCAAAATAACATCATGGTTTGAATTTTGTGAGTTAATGTAGTGCTGTGTCTTATCCAGGCCACTCAGGTGCAGGAGGACCTGGAGAAGACTAAAGAGGAGCTGAAGAACAAAGTCATATCAACCCATGTCCAAGAGCCAGTGCACAGCGAAAACGACAACGATGAGGATGACAGCAGTGCTGAGGCCTCCGCCGAACTCACCTCCGCAGCAGCTTATAAAGACAGGAGTGAGGAAGAGCGCATGACGGAGGCTGAGAAGAACGAACGAGTGCAGAAACATCTGCTGGTGAAAGAACTAATTCACAAACACTATTTAAATGGATAGTTCACACAAAAATAACACTTCTTTTATCAGTTACTCACCCGCATGTCATTCCAAACTGGCTTGTGTTTGCGAAGAGCAAATAAGGAGTTATCTTGCAAAATGTCCAAGCTGCACTTTTTCACTTCAGTAAAAAGTGGACTGCATACAATAAAGGCTTTAGCAGAGTAAATTTACTTTCAAGCAAAAACATTTTTTCAAAAGTCTCCTTTTTCCCACAGGCTCTTACTTCTGAGCTTGCTAACGCTCGTGATGACACCAAGAAGACCCAGAACGACATGATCCATGCAGAGAACGTACGAGCAGGACGCGACAAATACAAGACGCTTCGTCAGATCCGCTCTGGAAACACCAAACAGCGAATCGACGAGTTCGAGTGCATGTAAATGTACCACAGTCAGCCAACAGGGGGAGCTACAGCCTGCCTTTTGCATCATGCCTGCAGAGGAACTACAGTACCAACAATTCACCACTCCAAGAGAAAATAATGCCAAATATAGAATAATGCTGCACAATTCAAAAATCCCTTTAATTCAGGAGTGTTGTTTGGGTTACTGCATTATGATAAGGGAGATTTATTTTTTTGCTTTGTGTTTTGACCTAGATGTAGCTTTTTTATATTGGAAAACAGTAACAGTTTGCTGAATAACCGAACTAAAGGGTTTTTATTCCGTAAAACCGGGATTTCAGTAGGAATTGTTTTTTTCTAGTCTTATGATAAACTCCGAAAGCACTCCAGAGAGACATGTCAGTGTGCCAAGACTGTAATTCAGATCAGTAGAGTTGATATCAAACTGCACAGTGCCATTGTGATGGTGCAATAGCCCAGCTATTGCTATAACATTGTATCTATGTGCCTTTCTAATAAAACAACTACAGTATAGATTAAAACACATGCCTAAGATCATGGCTACCTGCTCCCCATCAACCACTCTGCCAATACCGGCAGCCCACAAGAGCAAAAAGTGTGTGTGTGTGTGTGAGAGAGAGAGAGTGAGATCCCTGTTGATAATTCCTTTAGTTATAGTTTCTCACTGCTGCAGGTTTGTGGCCGCTCCCTGTTTGTGCCTTTTTCACTGAAGAGAAAACAAAGAGAAAATATCAAACTGTATTTCTAGTTTAGGTTTTAATCCTAATCTTATTTTAAGCTTCTTTTTTTTTTTTTATAAAAGAGACTGTTTCGTTGTTTTGAGGCATTTGAATTTTTTCGCAGTATTATTTTGAAGAATCCTTAAATAGAATGACACTTAAAAAGCATCTTCTGGGATTATTTTTTCCCCTTTATTTCTGAACAGTATTTACCCAGAGTGTACACCATTTTAAGTAGCCCTGCACTTGTAGGCAGTGCCTTAGTTGTTTTTGAGGTCTATATTAGTTTTATTTTTATTCATGTGGCAATATGCTGCACTGAAGCAATATGACATGTCCCCAGCTGCTTTGGAAGAATTTTTCATTCTGATCTTACACTTAGATAATCTAAATTGTTTTGATATACAATAAAATGGATCTCGTGATAAATATGAAGTTTGTTCTTATCATATACATCTCTCTTGTTTCCTGGGTGATTTCTCACCCTTAGGCTGCAGGTGTTTTTTTTTTTTTTTTTTTTTGTCAACCAATCACAGAAAAGATTGCTGCTTGAAATGTTTCCATTGCAACTGTCAATAAAATATTAAAAACGTCACCAATGCACTGTTCTTGCAGCATTCTTCTGCCTCATTTGGGATACCCGTTTTATGATGGCCTGCGCACATTATTATAGACCGAGAGGAATATCATTATTAAACAATGATAATATATTCAGAAAATACATGTGAGCTTAATTGCCAAACCAGCATGTCCGTGCTCGCAGTGACTGAAACAGGATATTTAGAATGGACATGATACAGATTTAAGACAGCAAACGTGTCCTCCAGCGATTAAGGTGTGTTTTTGGTAATTACACTTGGTTACTGCTAAAAGGTGGAAACTGGGAATTTGCTCTAAAGTGCTGGAACACCCATCAGCCCAATGGCGGAATCCAATGGCGTTGGTGAAGGTATTCAGCGTTTTAGGTCTGTTACTTGCGTTTCTGCAAAGTTCACTTCTGATGTGCTCCATTCATTCGTGGGCTGTCAGTTTGACCTATCCTGGACACAATATTTGCAGTAACACCAGACTCCACTTTAATCTACTAGAAATAAAGGATTTCAGAAGAATACAGAATCAACCAACATTTTATTTGACAGGTAAAAATATATCATGCCAATTACACAATTACATTAGAAACCAATCCAGAAATGATATAACATCAATTGCTCAAAGATTAATCTAATGTAGAAATATACCTGACAGTGGAGAGACACTAGCGGTATGTGAGTTCTGAGTGCAGGAATCGAGACACCGACACACAGCACTGTGTGGGTTTTCTGGTTACACAATGCTAATGACTAATGTTTTGCCAGTTTTCCTTAAATACCCAGACTAGAACAAAAGAGCTGTAAATATTTACTACACAAATATTTTTGGAATTGTGTTTGACCTATTCATGTGCCTTAAAGTGCTGCACCTGCATGGTTTCGGGGGTGAGAAACAATGATTATCAGATGAAATAATATGCAAGTCCCAGGCACTCAATAAGTAGATAATGAGGAGAAGGAGAAGGTTAAAAAGCCTTTATTAAATATGGCTTATTTCATTATAAAAAAGTCACAAGCCAACATGTTTCGAGCCACAAGTGGTCTTCTTCAGGGCCAAGTAACACCGTGTTCTTCAGGGCCATCGTGGTACTTGGCCCTGAAGAAGACCACTTGTGGGTCGAAACATGTTGGCTTGTGACTTTTTTATAATGAAATAAGCCATATTTAATAAAGGCTTTTTAACCTTCTCCTCATTATCTACTTATTGAGTGCCTGGGACTTGCATATTATTTCATTGGATCCTTTCCCTACCCCAAGAGCACCTATCACGGATATACTTCATCTGAGCGCCTGGTTGAATCTCTTTTAGTTCAATGATTATCAGATATTTTGAAGGGACACTACCCAGAACAGGAGAACAGAATTCTCCTAAGTTTTCAATCTTTATCATAATACAAGAGCTGCAGTGAAATTGAAAAGAGGGCACACAGGTAGTGTAAAAGAGACATAGTTTACATTGTATGAAATTAAGAGAGCACTCTCGGGGGTAAGAAAGACTTCTCCAGGAAAAGATGAAAACTGTGTTGAGATTATTATTTTTTAAATTATTGAATAGGACCATACAGTTGGAATTTGGACTACATATTCGCAAATATATTCTATAGAAAATGGAACTCCCCAAGGTAGCATATGCAGTCCAATACTGTTTAATATATTGATTAATGATATCTATTCACAAATTGATATGGGAATAGGGAGATCATTAGAAATTAAATAGTGAAAAGCCTGCAGGGGGCAGTATAAGGTAGAAAACTGGGCAATTGCATGATTTTTTTTTTCAGTTGCAAAAAAAGCATGTAATTTGTTTCACAAAAAGGAAAACAAACAGTGAGTATAACAATAAATGGTCATGAATTGGAAGTTAAAGTAATATGATTTTTAGGTATGTGGATAGATTCTAAATTGACATTTTGTATTCACACTCAAAAGTAGATACATGCAAAAAAGGAATACATGTAATGAGGTGCTTTCTGGGGCTGAGTGGGGAGCGAGGCAGTCTTTAAGATGCCTAGATATGCAGTAGATAATGGTATCTGATGATATAGGTACTGCTTTGCATCAGAAACTTAAGAAGACTTAAAAATATCAAAGTAATTCAGACTCAAGCTCTAAGGATCAGGTTATGTAGCATTTAGAACATCTTCAGTATCATCAATTCAAGTGGAGATGTGGGAAATGTCTCTAGAAATGTGTAGGAGAAAGTTAAGAATGAGAAATTGGATCAATGTTAAAGGGCATGATGAAATACATCCAGTTAAAAAGGTAGCCCAACTGGAGAACCAAATTTGTGAAAAGAAAGTGAAAAAGAGTGAGCGTGAAAGTCAAAAGGGAAAAGAGGAGGCAGAGGAGGATAAGGGACAATGAAATAAGAGGAAGGCATGTAGGGGTGGAAAGAAAAACAATTAATAACAGGAAAAAGGATGTGATAATGACAAGATTGTGAATTGGGCATACAACACTAAATCAAAGTTGATATGAAATATGGAAACACGAAACGGGCAACTGCGATAAATGTGGACATCCAGAAACAGCAAATACTGCTATATATAGTACCGTAATTCCTCAAATAAAGACCGGTATTCAAATAAACGCCGGGCCTCTGATAGTGGCCGGGGGCGTGGTCAACGCGGACAAATAAAAGCCGGTCTCAAATTAAGGCCGGGGAAAAAATAGTGTGAATCGGTACACTTTAAATGAATGTACACTCAAAGACGGACGCGCTCAGCGCTTGTCATATATCACAACTATTAAGTGTTTTTAACCACATGTTTATTTTAGGTTTCAGACATTTAAATAGATATGATTTATAGCAAAACAATAAATTTATAGTTTGTAAAATACACAATGGTGTCTATGGAAGCAGCAATAACAATCCATTCAAATATATTTGGCGACGTGTTTTATTCATATCAGATACACAGTGTAAGTAACTATAAAGTTTACTCTATTCTTCTCCCAGTTCACCGGCCACTTACTTTTATGTATTTCGGGAGAAACTGAAGAATTCACGCGCTGTAACTTAACAAATACAACAGGAATCTCCGAACTGCGGTGCCCATCTCACGTTACAGATCAAGATCATTTATAAAGGGTTTTAAACGACAAAACAAACTCACTTACACGGATTTGAGAGTCAGAATAGAAGATAGTTGATGACATGGTAAGCAAGTTTGTTAATATTTAGAAATAAAAGCGCTACATCTGTCATACAGCGCTATTTTGGCTGTGGTGAACACGTGCCAAGCATGACGCGTCACCATGGAAACTTGGCTGGCGGGCGGGCGGGGATCGCGAATTAGAAATAAAGGCCTGCCTCTAATAAAAGCCTGCTTCAAATAAAAGCCGGCTACCATCTGCAGTTCAGGTAAATAAAGGCCCCGGCCTTTATTTGAGGAATTACGGTATACATAACTACAAGTCAGGCTGCAATACCAAACAGGAACACATGGAAATGCCAAACAGACCACTATACCAGCCGTTTTAATCTTGCTCACTTGCTGCATATAGCTGAATACAGCTTCATTCAGAATTATTAAACATAGCAGAACACAAATAAAAAAACCCAATTCTGATTGTGTCAAATGTAGCTATGGCGGCTCGACATCGTCAGTGAAGAGTTTCTCTGTCAGAGCGAGTGTTGTGTCTGTGCTTGGAGTGTCTAGGTAATGCCCATCTGTAAATAACGACTCGGTTACTAACGTAACCTCGGTTCCCTGAGATAAGAGTATTGCGTAGCTATACACTATGGGGAAAACTCCTTTTTCTCAGAATACTGAAAGCCTTTTATATAATAACTTACTCGCACACCATTGGCTGGTCAGTGGTAACTGTACGAACCTATGGCAGAGCGGCGTAACTGTGCGAACCAATCCGTGCGAAGCCCGCCAGGCTGAGCGCAGAGCCGCCAGAATGGGCGGGGCATCTGCCTATAAAAGACGCTCGATTTTGCCATGGATTCAGGATTATCGACTGAAGCGACGAACACCAAGTCGTGTGCGCCATAGCACGGCCGTATATGCAATACTCGTTCCCTTATCTCAGGGAACCGAGGTTACATTAGTAACCGAGTCGTTCCCTTTCGAACGGTCAGTCGTATTGCGTAGCTATACGCTATGGGGAACCAATCCAATCACGGCATGCTATGATAAGCGCAACGACATGTTCTGATACCCAAGTTAGGACGCTTGCATAAGGGTCCGAAGCAAGGGCCTTTTGACATGACGTGTTGAAAGGGCAAAAGCCCTAATTATGATGGGCCGGGCTCACAGAGGCCGGCTTCAATCACACAGAAAGGATATGTGCCTGAAGTCCAGGGACTTCCAATTTATAAAACCTGGTGAAGGTAGTCAGCGAGGAACCAGCCGGCCGCCATACATATACCACCAATAAATACTCCACTGGACCATGCCCAGGAGGAGGCCATGCCCCTAGT